GAAGAGACTGAGGTTTGTGGGCAGGGAAAGGACTTGGCCAAGGGCGCACAATGGGGAGCCAGAAAACAAACCCAGGACTTTCGCCTCTAAAAGTTTTCCATCTCCTCAGCATGCCATGCCCACCCTCCATTTTATATGTGTGGAAATGGACAACCCAGATCAAAAGGTTGACTTTTCCCAAGATTACATGGCAGAGAGAAGTAGATCTGGGATGAGAACCAAAGCCTTATGAGTCTCAGTACGTGGGAAAGCCACTTCTCTTAGCCTTGGATTTCACATATGTCCAGTGGAAGTGATTCTGACTTCTCAGGGCTGTCGCGTAGGGTGAATGAAGGGAATGAAAATGCTTTACGAAGGAGCACTGAGTCCATTTTGTCCCACTCCTTGCTATGTCCTAGTACCTAGCAAGTAGGAAGCAGTGACATTTGTCTGCCGTAAGGAGTTCTTAGAGCAAGAACTGGTCTGGAACCTATTCCCAAAAGGCAAAAGATTGCATGACATAGTGGCTCTGGTGAGGAGAGGCATAAAATGAGTGTGAGCCCAGCTGGCCACTGACCCCCACTTTCTCCCACAGATGCCGGCATCGGGAGCCGCCTTCTGGCAGGCAGCACCACAGGTGCCTTGGCTGTGGCTGTGGCTCAGCCCACAGATGTGGTAAAGGTCCGGTTCCAGGCTCAGGCCCGAGCTGGAGGCGGCCGGAGATACCAAAGCACTGTTGATGCCTATAAGACCATTGCCCGAGAGGAAGGGTTCCGGGGACTCTGGAAAGGTGTGTACCAGGTGTTTCTCCTCCATCTTCCTCCTCCCCTATTCCCTGGTCTGACACAGATACCCTTTCCTCCTGTAGGGACCTCTCCCAATGTTGCTCGTAATGCCATTGTCAATTGTGCTGAGCTGGTGACCTATGACCTCATCAAGGATGCCCTCCTGAAAGCCAACCTCATGACAGGTGAGTTAGGACAAATGGTGCTGGGGCTCACCCTTACCCAACCCAGGATCGGCTGAGGGAGTCTGGGTGCCTGAAGACCACGACTTCTCATCCTGTTCCCCTTTGCTTGTGGAGTGAGTTGATCTCTCTCACCTGCCGTATTGAAGCCAACGGGGATGGGGCTCCCACTCTGATACTGAAGCATGGAGGCTAAGCTGGCAGAATGACTCTAAGACTCACAGGAGAGGTCCCAGTGAGGTCTCTGTCTCCTGAAAATCAGGAGATCCCTGGCTACCTAACTGATCTCTTCCCCTTGGGAGTGCCAGGTGCGGAGTCCTAACTGCCTTGCCCGCCCCTCCTCCTCGGCAGATGACCTCCCTTGCCACTTCACTTCCGCCTTCGGGGCAGGCTTCTGCACCACCATCATTGCCTCTCCTGTTGACGTGGTCAAGACGAGATATATGAACTCTGCCCTGGGGCAGTACAGCAGCGCTGGCCACTGTGCCCTTACCATGCTCCAGGAGGAGGGACCCCGAGCCTTCTACAAAGGGTGAGCCTCTGATCCGCCCGCCCAGTGCCAGGCCTCCTGGCTGCCCATACCTGTCACACAGGGGCCGAGAACGGCTTGGAACCTAGTAGCAATCACACGTCAGCCTATTCTGATGCTGCTCCTGGCATTGCACCAGCATTCTCTCATGCTTGTGCTCCTTCCCCCCAGAGTTGCTCTCATCCCTACTGTAAGGGTGTTGAAATGGAGACTCAGGGTTTCTTGCTCACAGCCACACAGCTGTGAGGCTCTGTTCCCTGGGCCCTCCCTACTTCCTTTGGGACAAGCAACGGGGTTAGACTGGATGCCAGAGCCCAGCAGGGTGAGGGAAGGTCAAGGTGCCCTCTGTGACCTGTGTTTTCTCTGCTCTAGGTTCATGCCCTCCTTTCTCCGTTTGGGTTCCTGGAATGTGGTGATGTTTGTCACCTATGAGCAGCTCAAACGTGCCCTCATGGCTGCCTGCACTTCCCAGGGGCCTTCCTTTTGAGCCTTCTGCTGCTGACCAGACCACCGCTGGCTTTGGCCTCAGCTCCGGCCAGGCGCTGCTTCCCTCCCATCCTGTTCCTCCTCCCCTCCTTCCCTTTCCTCTCTCCCCACTGTTTCCAACTGCTCCCCTTTCCACCTCCCCACTTCCCTCTCCTCACATGCCCACCCCTCTTCCCCACTCTTCTCCCCACTGCCTCTCAGTCCTGGTAGAGCTGACCCTGAGTGACTGGGAGGCCCAGCGCCAGCCAGGATGCCAAGCCCTCAGTCCCTTGAAAAGTTCAGCCCAGCTCCGTCCTCTCCCCAAGCCCAGTCCAGCCAGCATGTCACCATAAAACAAGTTCAACCTTGGTGTCTCCTCCTCCCTCTTTTGCAGCTGTTAACAGAGGCCTTAGTCTAATGGGCTCTTTTGGCTCCTGGTGGGCAGGGGAAGAGCCACCTGACTTGGAAAGGGGGGTATGACCCACCTTCCACCTCCAGCATCTAGTCTGGGCCCGTGGAGGTCACAGAGCCCACCTCTCTTTCGGGCCCAGGCCCAGGCCCAGGGCTTAGGTGGCAGGTGAAGGCGCAGCCCCGATTCACAGTGGCTCTGCTCTTGCCAGGCCACCTGAGCTTTCACTCCCCCGGTGCCTGGTACTCCTGCACCTACCTTTCCAACCTGCCAGCTGGCCCCAGGCCTGTTGATGTACAAAATGAGAGCGTTCCTGTCTGCCCTAAATGCCCTGTGCTTCTTGGAAGATTTAGAGGAACTTACGAACCTTAGATGCTGTAAGCTTATTTTATTCCATATTACAAATGGCCCAAAGCCTCAGACCTACTGAAGCCTGCCAGGCTGCCTTCCATGTCCACACGCACACCCACAGAAGTTAGGGTTACTACTGGGGGACAGGCTGCAGGGCAAACAGCCAGCCTCAGCCAGAAGATACTTTCCTTTTAGAGTCTCATCCTCTCTCTGGGCAGAGATCCCAAGGAGGCAGAGAGACACCAGGGCTTAGGCTGCACGGAGGTGTCACCCTTTCTGTCCCTCTTCCTACTACTTGTCCTCAGACAGAAAGCAGGTGGGCAGAGCTACTTCTGATTCAAGGGGTAAGGGACTCGGCTCTGAGGTCCCAGAATCCTGCATCAGAGTGCCCAGGATTCCTCGCTTTACTACCTAACCTCTGACAAATGTGCTGAGGCCTCATCGTCCCCCAGGGGCAGGGTTGGATGACATGAGCTGAGCCAGGGTGAAGGTGGCAGGCAGTGCAGCCAGGCTGTTCTCTCTGCTGGGCAGCAGGGAGTCAGCATAAACGGAGGATCTGGTCAGTGTGTCTTATGCACCTTAATTCTCACATTAATCCTGTGAGGCAGGCTATTCACTGTTTTGCACCAGAGGGAACAGGGGCAATCTGTTGCCATGAGCATGTCTCAGCTGCTCATTCACCGGCTTGTGTGCCAGACACTGGAATGGACTCAAAGCCACCAGACTTCATCACGGTTCTGCATGTGATTCTGGGACAAGGAGCTGGGAAGGCGGTAGGAACCACTGGACAGCATATCAGTAGGCCTCAGTAATTCAGTAACTGGGCCTCCATCCTTAATGCCTATACAACACTATAAGCCCTGTTTTGCCTGGCTCACAAGGTAGCTTATCACTGAGGTAGACTTAGAGGTTGCTCTTCAGGCCTGAGATCACGCTTCCTCCAGAACCTCACCATGAAAAAGAGGTTAGGAGCAGGCTTCCCTGCTGGCCTGGAGGAGACCTGGAGTGCTAGAGATTCACACCACAGGCTCCACACTCCCTTACTCACCTTCTCTCAGAGCAGGCCAGCTACCACTGCGGAGCTCCTGCTCCAAGGGGCAGAGTCTGTTTCCCTCATCTGGTTTCCCCAAAGCCTTCAAGATAGTCGTAATTTTTGCTTTAAGAAACAGGCTCAAGAAAGGTGCAGTAATTTGCCTAAGGGCACACAGCAGGTAAGTAGCACACCTGAGGTGTGTCTGACCCCAAAGCCCACATCCGGTAGTGACTGAAGATGCTTCCTAGAACCCTGGTCTAGATGCTACATCTCTACCTGCTGCTGCTGCTCTCTTCCTGATGCAGTAGAAGTGGTTAAGTGCTCCCCAGCCCCCACTTAAGAAAAATACCTTAGCTAATATGGTGCTTAGAATCGTAGAATCCAAGCAATATGGATGACGAGGCCTTTTCTGGGACCTCTGAAAGGGGCCCATTATGGGGCCCATATGTCCATTATGGGGGATGATTATGGGGCCTGTAAATTTGGTCTGATCCTAGCCTAAACCTAGACTCCAGAGGGGAGTTGCCTGTACGGAGGAGGGATATACTGCACTGTGGAGGCAGGTGGGGTCTGCAAAGCTGGGTCTGAGCTGGGACTCTGCAAGCCACATCAGCAGCCATGCTGTAACCCTGAAGCCTAAGCAGCAAGTTCACCAAGCACCTCCACACCAATGACTCAGTTCTCACAAGCAGCCCGGGGCGGGGGTTATGAGCTCTGCTTCACTGACAAGACAGGCAGCAACATCCACAGGGTCAGTGGCAGGACTGGGAGCAGAACCCAGGCCTCCTGCCTCCTAGAGGGAGTGCAGGACCACCCACAGACGAGGGGACAGGCTGGAAGGATGAAAACCAAGCCATTGCCAGCGGTCGGTCCCTAGGTGCTGCCTATCTAAGCAGTGAGTCTGGGAAGTGGGCTGTCAAGTTTCTGGTGACAACTTGGCCCCTGAGCCCTGTGTGACTTGGGACAGTATTTTCTTTCTGTGCTTCCTATCTCTACAGTGTGACCATATCACACTCCTGAGACTGCCCCTGCTGAAGATTACATGTCATGAGAGAGCAGAGCTGGTGACCTTCAGAGGCCACTTGGCTCTGCCCCTCTATCAAGGTGGGAGCGCAGAGCTTTGATCCCTCAGCCCTGGCCACATCCACAGAGCCAGGATAGGAACCCGGGTCATGGGCTTCCTGGGTCCTGCCCTTCCCTCTGCTCCACAGAGGGGCTAAATGAAGCTCTCCTCCCCCAACACACACTCTCCAGGGTGTAGCTGGAGGATAGGAAATAAATCTTTATTGTGTCAGTTGACAAGTCCCATGCCATGCCCCCCTCATGTCGTCTGTGCACCTGAGGCTGTGGGGGGCAGGAGTGGGCTAAGGCCCAGCTCGCCCTCTCTGCCCCCCGCTCCAGCTCCCAGCCCAGCAGTTAGGTCAGCAATGCCTGGCGCAGCATCTGCTTCTTCTGGGCTGTGAGGTGGGTGGGAAACTGGATGTCGAAGAAGATAAAAAGGTCCCCCTTCTTGGCAGGGTCCTCAGGCAATGGCATCCCCTCACCGGGCACCTTCTTGAAGTACTTGGGACTGAGACGGGAGGATGAACGAAAGCAGCTTAGAGCATCCCCCAGAGGCACCCTGCGGCAGGCCCCAGGCCACCACTCCTCACAAGCTCAGGTGTAGGGCGGTCCCCATAGCTGTCATGGGATGGCTCTTCTCAGACAAAACCAGTGAGAGGGGAGAGGAGACTGGCTTGTTCCAGACAGCTTCCTCCCTGAAAACCCATTTACATGGAGTCTCTGATGGAGAATTCCATAAATCTTGTTTTAGATATGGAAGAGAGGACAAGGAAGGAAAGGTGAGCAGACCCTGTTGGGGGTGGGGGATGCTGGGCTGCTCAGCAAAGCTTCCCATGCAGAGGACCCTTCTTGGAGACTTAGGGAATGCAACTCAGAACTCTAATGGAAGGTTCTGAAAAATGAAGGCAGCAAGGATTGCCCATCACCAGGAGCCTCTCACTTCTACAGTGGTTTCGTGCAAGTGAGAAAAAGGCCCTCCATTTGCCAGGCGAAGGCAGCCTACAGCTTGGCCAGAGTTGGAGCTGAATTTCAGTTCTATTTCATCCCCTTGTGGTGGGTGTATCAGGCCGACCTGACTGACACTACCCTAAGGCCCAGGCCAGCCCTTCTGCCTACTGGGTCCCAAGCAGATGGACTCACTGGATGATGTCATTGATGGGGATGTTGAGCAGACGGTCATCGAGGGTCTTTACCTCCACGGTGCAGCAGGTCAGAGCCTAGGGGATGTCAGGGTTGAAGGTGGGAGTGGGGAAGGTCACCATGGCCACTCTGTTTAGCAGGCATTTTTTGAGCCTATTCAATGCCAGGCCCTGAACTGAGCCTCAAGGAGACAAAAGGATGTTCAAGGACTAACAGTGATTGAGGCAGGTACCTGCCCCCAAGAAGTTCAGTCTGGTAGGTAAGACTGATGTGGATACATGTTTTGACAGAGGGAAGTAAAGGGGTCTGTGGGAACCAAAGAGAGGTCCCCAAACTATTCTGGGGTGGGACAGGAAGCCTCCTCAGTGGTGGTAGCTGTTGATAAGGGCCTTTAAAGCATGGGTGGGACCTTGACAATTAGACAAGGTGGGTGGACAGTGTTCCAGCATGAATGAGAATGGAGGTGTGAAAATGCACTAAAAAAGCAGGAGCTCTAAGTGGCACAGTGGCTGGAGTGCAGGGGATGAGACCAGCAGAGGCCAGATTGCAGAGGGCCTCGAATGCCATGAGAAGATGTTTGGACAAGAGTATAGCTCGGTCAGATGAGTGTGTGGAAAGACCTCTGTGGGAAGATCTTGGAGAAGGGAGGCAGGAAGGCCACTGAGGAGTCTGCCACACAGAACCAGGTGCGCAGACCCATGTGAGGATGAACAGTGGAGCAAGCAGAGAGATTTGGAGGTGGCATCGCCAGGACTGAGTGACTGACTGTGGGCAGGGCCGGGGAGGGGAGGCAGAGTCAAGGCTGGGGCCATCTCTCGCTTGGGTTGTAAGGGCACAGAGGGGCCATTTGTGCTCAGGAGATGGTGCACGGCACTCATCTCGTCCTGAGGGCCTGTGCCATGCACTGGGCCGAGTGAGGAGAGGCCTGCTTGCCTTGGGGCCACCTGAGTGGGGGCTCACTCTGCTGCCCACTCCCTGCTCCTCTGCATTGCCCACTCACCTTGCCCAAGGGAATGGAGTTCACAAAAAAGAGGTTGTCATTCTCCCTGCGGAAGCGAGGGTGCAGCTTCTCCTTCACGATGAAGATGATATTGGCTGGGATGATGTTGGGGCCCTAGGCAGGAGAGACCAAGGGGTGACAAGGACTAGTTGGCTGTGTGACATGCCAAGTTCCTGCCTCTACTGGTTTCCATGTCTTCATCTGAACAATGATGAGATTAGACCAGGTTTTCTGGAAAGGCCTCTTCAGTTTGGCTCCATAGCCCCTCCTCTGAGAAGCCTGCCCCGCCCCCCCATTACTTCTCCTCTACTGAGCATGCTCAAATACACGCGCTCAGCTGGAGTGGGACAGGCTTCCTCAGGTCGTGGGCACAGCACTGAGCTCATGTCAGATAACTGCCTGCAAGTCTCTGTCCTGCTAGGCCTCATCAAGTCACCAAAACTCTGCAGAGCACTCTTCTGGGCACTGGGGACAGAGCAGTCAGACTGGCCTCGACCCCTAAGGAGCTCACAGTCTGGTGGGGGAAACAGGCCCACAGTGAGTCTTCAGCACACTCAAGGTTGTGGTACAGGGCACCCAGAGGTGGGAGCTCAGACTGGTGCTGACCCGGGAGGAGAGGTCAGGGGAGGCCGCCCTGAATGGGGAGCACTAGTGCTGGGTCTTCAAGGGGGTCTTTTGGAAGTAGATGTTTTATAGGTAAGAAAGGGGGCAAGAAGTGTGGACAGAGGAATTACTCTCTCTCGGCTCTAAATACACCATCATTCTGCCTCTTCTCAGGACTTAAGAACTCATACCTTGGACAATTTTATATTTTTACTTCAATAAATAGTTAAAATTAAAATATTAAACAGCATTAAAATTACTATTAATAAGTGGCTTCTGAGTAGCTCCTATAGTTGGGCTGTATTCAGAGAAGCACTAGAGATCAGGAAGAGCATAGGCAGTAAGACTGGGTTCTCCTCTCAGAGCTTGTACTCTTGGCCTGGCAGTCCCCTCCCTCTCTGGGCCTCAGTTTCCCACTCTGCAAAATGGGGAGAAGCCCTGGGCTACCCACTCACAGAGGCATTGTGAGGCTCTGTCCCTTGGAGGGGACATTAGGGATCATCTTGCCCACTAGACTGGTCCCCTACCAGACCAGGGCTCACAGGGGCAGGGAAAAGCACTGCTTTCTTCCCCTCTGTCCTCCCACCATGGGAGCCTGGGTGACTGAGCCCTGACTGCCCTAGTCAGCTGCCTTCCCTCTCACCTGGTCCCCTTCCTTCTCAAAAGTGATCCGAGTGCCCTGCCTCCAGCCAGGCTTCACATCAATAGTGAGGATCTTGTCCTTGATGGTCGAGGAGTACCCATCCTCATTCAGCACCTGTAGTGAGATGGCAGGGGGAGGTTGGCCCCGGATTTCCCAGCTGGCTGTTACACACGTGAAAGATGCTCTGTGGGATCTGTGCCCAGGTTCAATCCTCTAGCAATGAGGACAACCTGCCCGAAGCCAGTCCCACTCCCACCTGCTTGCAGTGGAACCAAGACCTTATGATTCCAGGGTGGCAGGCATGTCATGGAGCTGGGGCCTGAGATGCCAAGCAGTCACCATGAGTTAATCAAGCCCACAACTCCAGCCCTATCAATCATGTGGTCCTGGCCACTAATGGACATGCAGTGAACATGCACTCAGTTCCTCCCTCCCACCCCAAGGTTCTGGCCCTGAGCCTCTGGGAAGTCTCATAATCTCAAAGGGAGAAAATCCACTGAGGTGAACATATCTGAGCCTCAACAGAAGCCTTCCTATTATGTCATCTGTCCATTCCCCAATCACATGCCTAGATGGGTACCATTTGTGGAAAGCATGGCCACAGTTGCCAACTCCTCTGCTAGGCAAAGGACATATGCAGGACCCTACTCGTGTGCCTAGCACGGGGACTTTGGGGACTGTCCCCCAGTCTACCCTCCATGCCCACACTGCTCCTTCTTAGTCATGAGGCCTACACCCTGATGAAACTCTAGAGGTATATGGTCTGGTCTTGCCCAGAGGTTAGGATTCACAGAGGACTCTTCCCATTCAGAGCCCAAACCTCCCTCAGAGATGGGGCTGAACAAGAAGTGAAACCTCCCAACCCAGTTAGGAATGCCGACCCTGGTCTGGTAGGAAGGGATCCCTGCACTAGGAAAGAACAGAACAGTTCTCTCAATTGTCCCTTCCAGACTTCAGATTCTAGAATTCGAGGATCCCAGGTCTCCGAAGCTGATTCCGTGGTTCTGTCAGAGATCGTACCAGAGGTCTCCAGGTAGGGTCAGGAAGGAGGTGACTGGTGGGGTTGGAAGGGACAGATGGTGGCTTTTTGTGGGAGCAAACCAAGTACTCACCCTTCGGGAGATCTTAATTTTCTTGGTGCAGCCAAAGAATAAATCCTCCAGGGATAGGTAGAGGTCTCGTTCAATTGGGGGATCCTGTTTCCTGACCCCTCGGCCCCGGAGCCCCCCAAAGTTCAAATCCACCTCACTTCCTTCTGTATCAAAAAATTCTGCAGGAGGTGGGAGAAAAACTGTATCCAGAGACTTGGATTCATCAACACCCCCTTCAGGCCCCAGGTGTGATACCCAGCATCCCATTTCACCTTGCTGATACAGTTTAGCCAGGCCAGGAAGCTGTCCTCAGTTGCAGATCCAATGATTAACGTGTCTGGCCACTCCCCACTGCTTCATTCCCATTGGGGACACTCCCTCACTTTCCTGATTCTCTCCCTGCCACCCTTCCAACTTGGGGAAATACCCCTCAAGGCTGGCTGCCTTGGGAGAGAGAGGGTGCCCTCTGGTGGCCGTCCCTGATAGTGCCAAACACGACTCTGCTGTTAGCCTTATGTGGGGGGGTCACAGTATTCCAGTCTTCCCCACCCTTCCCCGGGCTCCTCCCACCCTTCACTTTCCAGCATCCCCCAAGACCACTAGAAACCCCAGACTCAAGTTTCTATGAAGTCAGCAGTTAAGATGGGGGTGAGGCAGGGTTGGTTGCTAACAAACTTGGTCCCGAACCCCTCTTTCCTCAACTTATTTTGCTCCTGCCCAGTTCTACACCTATAACCCCTCTTGCTGCCCTGCCCTTCCCTTCTAGTGCAAAAAGCCCCTGTCCCTTGAAGTGCTGTGCAATTATTTGGCTTCAGTTTCTCCATCTGTGGGATGGGGTAATATTATGCCTGACCTGCCTTCCACCATTAAGATTAGACACCAAGATTATGAAGAAGAGGAGCTAAAACTTGCTGAGAGCTCACTATGCACTAAGTGCTCTTTCCATCTCTTTACATTATCTCACTGGCCCACAGAGGCCAAACAAAATTCTCACAGTCCCATAACTAGTAACAGTAGAGTTGGGATCTAAACCCTGGATGATTTGAGTACAGAACTTATGCCCTTAATACTATGCTTATTGCTAGACATGAAGCCCGCTGTAAACTGTAGTCAGGGGTTGCTATTATGACTTAAGATTTTTTGTACTCTGCCTCTCATAGTTAATGCAGTGGAATAAACTTCACAGGCTAGAATGGTGCAATCACTTTAGATTGGAGAGGGCAAGGCATTGTCACATTATGTTCCCCTAAGATGTGATTGGTAATCGAGAGGCCTATGAATTACCTATTCCACTCCTGCACTGCTGAATTCATTTGTTCATCCAGCACCTTTGGAGTGCCAGGTTGTAGATCCCCCAAGAACTAGATTACAGGAAGCCTAGCCCCTTACCCTGCAGGCTGGGGACACAAGAACCCCTAGAGTGGAGCCCTGCAGTAGAGTGGGCACTGCCTGAGGGACCTCCAGACCCTGAGTTTGACCTTTCCTAATGAGTGATGCCCCCCTGAGCTCTGGTGTGGCTCCTCTGAACTCCTTCTTTTCCATGCACCTGTCCCTGGGAGACACAGGTCCATTGTATCGTAGTTTTCAGACTGCAAAGCCCATTTTCATGAACATTATCTCATTTTTTCATAATGACCTGTGAAGAATGGACTATTTCATCCATTTAATGGTGAGAAAGCCGACATTTCAGAGAGGTGAAGAGATTTGCCCAGAATCACACAGCTCACAAGTGACAGAGCATGGTTTTAAAACAAGGCCTCTGACTCCACATCCCTTGCTTTTTCCAGTATCACATGGAGTTTGTAAACTTATCTTCCTCTGACAGGTGAAGGCAGAGCTCTGACATGAACGGGTAGTGGGCTGTAGCCCACTTACCTTATTAACATGGAGAAAAGGTAGAGAGAACCTTTGAAATGCAGAAAAGCTGTCCTATAGCCAAGGAGAAGGGGCTAGGGGGTCGAGGAAACAAATCTAGACTCTCTGAGTTGCATGACTAGAACTGGAGCCAGGAAGACAGGTCCAGGTTAACTGTCCTTGCAAGATGATTCTGAGCCTCAGAACTGTTTGTCTGGGACCTGGGATCATCCATCTATCCACCCATCCAAGTACTCATCTGACTAACACACACCAAACAATGAAATCTTATGCAGCTATTAACATGAATAAAGTAGATCTGTTTATAATATAAAATTAAATAATCTTCAAGATATATTAACTGAAAAAAATCAGTGGGTACAATGTGGTCCCATTTCCTTAACAACATAAAAGGCTTATGTAAAAATAAATATATGGTCATAAATGCATAGCAAATTTCTGGAAAGATACATACACTGTTAACTGTTAGTGGTTGCTTCTGGGGCAGGAACAGGGGACTGGAATTTATTTCTTCTTCAACAAATTGTTTTGTTGTTGGGTTTTGTTTTTTACCATGTACTATATATATTTCTTAAACAAAATAAAACAATTTAAAAAAAAAAGCATCTTTCCCAGCTATGTCCTCTACCAGTGAGGCAAGGGGGTAGGTAGGATCTCTTACCACCAAAGGGGTTGTCTCCTCCAAAGAACTCATGGAAAACCTTTTCAGGGTTGCCGTGGAAGACGTAACCAGTTGTCCACGGGGTCTGGGATCCAAACTCCAGAGGAATCCCGCCCTTCAGACCCTCCTCTCCAAACTTGTCATAGATGCCTCTCTTCACAGCTGTGGATATGTGTCTCCTTGAGGAGGGGTCCAGCCTTGGGGGCTAAGATGGCTGGAGGGCTGGGAAACAGGAGAATGTGGGGCAGAGAAGAAGGGGCAAAAATGCTATTTCTAAAGTGCCTGCTGCCTGGCAGTCTGGAGGAGGGAAACCCTAGAAAATAAGGGGCTAATTTCATTGTGGGTCAACCGAAGCATGGTCCCATACCTAGGCGTGGTCCCATACCTAGACCAGAGTTGGGAAAGACTGGGACTTGCTGGAGGATGGGTGGGGATTGGAGGAGGGCTGGAGAGACTAAGCTCCAGGCTACTGTCTTGAGATTTGGTTTAACTCAGGCATCAAGCTACAGTCTTATCTGGGAAACAGAATCTTAGAACCTTGAAATTCTAGAATATAAAAATTCTAGAGCTTCCAAGTTCTGAAGCTTTGAAATTCTATTGTCTAAGGATCCTCCAGTCCTGAAAACCTGGGGCTGGAGAAATCTTAGTGATCTTCTGGCCATTCTTCTTCACAGTATCCATGATTATAGCCTTCAGGACAAACCCTTGGGGAAATCCATGTGGGCACTGTCCAAGGCCAAGGCAAGGAATCACACTTTCTCCACTCTCTGGTTTCCTTAGGAAGGAGATTTCCTAATTACTGGCCTCTCTGCCCCTTTATATGTATGCTGTGCTCTGACAAAAAGACATTTAGCAATTTGGTAACCTGGGAGGAATAACTGAGCATGCCTGCCTCTCAGTTTCAGCCTTCTTCCCTTGGCAGCAGGCATCTCTCTCACTCTGACCCTGCAGGGAATGGATGGGAGGAGGGGAGACTGGGCCCAGGTCCTGCCCTGCCGAGAAGGGGAGAGCACATCAGCCTACCCCGGGGACTCTCCACACCATGTCCTTGACTTCAGCTTGTGTCTACTGAGGAAGGCAATTCATTCTGTTTTCTTTCTCAGTTTGTTTAGATTTTGGGCAGGGAGGAGAAATGCTTACTCTCTTTTGGGCCCCCTCAAAAATCCTAACACTCAGGGAATTAAAGAATGATCTTAATGGAGAGGTGGGACAGAGGACATGTCCTGGAGTCACTCACGGTCACTCAGTACATCGTAGGCCTCTGCTATTTGCTTGAATGTCTCTGCTGAGGACGGCTCAACGGATTTCAGTGGGTGGTTCTTAAGGGCCAGTTTCCGGTACCTAGAGGGAGGGTAAATACAAGTCATCGCCGCTGCTCTGATCCTGGGGTGCAGACATGGTTCTGAGCTGGCTCTGCAGTCTGCTGCCTGGTTGGCCTCTCAGAGCTCTGATATTCCCAACTATAAATCAGCACTGTGGTGGCCAGGAAAACACACTGTTCAGATGCCCTTGAAGAGGACACGGTGTAGGGAACGTGGCTGACTGACAGCTCTGGGCATCTATGCTGAGGCTACACATGCCCCAAGCTGCTCCCAGCCAATGCCCATGTGTGGTGGGGACATTAGTGCTGGGACAGTAGTCCTCTGCTTGAGGACCATCAGCCTGGCTGAGAATTTCTCCAGCCCTGTGGCCCTCCCCACCCAGCCTTTCCTTCCTGCCCCACGTTCACAGGTGTCAGGCCCACCTGCACTGTGGTCTCCTCCCCTGTCCCCCTCACAAGTGCTTCCCCCAGTACATTTCTTGCACATCTAATTGTATTTTGGTGACTGAACTAACACCAAGCTTCTTGGTCAGATTAGATAAAACACGTTGCAAAGGGCCTGGTACTGAGCGGCACTCAGCCCCATCGGCCTCTCGTGGTCTCCCACCTCTGGGTGGTTCTTTCCCGCTTCTGTATCTACCCAGTCTCACGGCTCAGGGACGTGACAGGTGACACCTGCAGCACTTGAGTCTGTATCATCAGCGTCCCAGGAGGAAGAAACTGGGTGATTTGTGGAGAGTTTAATGAAGGACCAAGGTGTGGGAAGCCACAAGGGACAGCGCAGTGTCCCCAGGCCAGGTGCCCCAAGGCACCCCAGACACCCCTGTCCCTAGAGTGGTGAGAGGAAAGAGGCCACCAAAGATCCACAGGAGAGAAAGTGGATGGGGTGCTTAGCAGGAGCTGTAATCTTCCGTTAAGGGACAGATCCAACCTGAAGAGAGCAGGAAGGGAGCAGAGAATAAGTACCTCAGCCCCACTCTGCTCCTTCGTGATCTTCTGCCTTGTGCTCCCTTTTGTGGGGTGCCTTAGAAAGCCTGGGGGCCAGGAAATCTAGTGAGGCCAGCCTCCAAAGCGGAGGGCAGGATGTAGCAAGACAGGGCATTAGTACAGCCTCCTAAGTTGCTCAGTACGAGTGTGACCCCACATAGGCTCCGCTGGGTCAGCTCCTCTGCCCTGCTCACGCCTCCCAGGCTGGTGACCCAGATTCTGCCACCTCTCGTCTCACGCCACAGCTCTCCACGGACAGCTCATCATCCATCCCACGGCCGGGAGCACCACCCACTCACTGATGACTCCCACAGTGCCATCTCACCCCAGGCCACTTCCCTGAACGCAGACTTCTGCAACCAGCTGCCCACTCAGAATCTTCCTTCCAATGTTCCCCCAGACCCCACAAACTCCCTTTTTAAAAAATAAACATGTCACACAGCTAGCCCAAAATTGAGTACATTTCCATTCCCTAACTTTTCGCCACCTGTCCAGGTACTGAGGCTGGAAAGCAAAGCATCATCTTTGACTCCAAGTTCTCCCTCAGCCCTGCACCCCATCACATCAGTCACCAAGCCATGTTGGTTTTTTCTTCTAACCAATGTTCTGTCCCTGTCTCTTCATCCCCACACCTATTACAGAACCATGTCTTCCTGCTTCCAGTTTTCCCTTCTCCAGTCCATTGTGTGTGCGGCCATGCAACGCATCTCCCCCTGACCAAGTCACTCTCCTGCCGAAGTCCTTCACTGGTTCCCCCTTTGTTTTCAGCATAAAATCTACACGTCTCTAAGATTCAAGCCTGCCTCTCTCTGGTCTTCTCACTCATAGCTCTCCCTGCCTGCTCCCATGACCTCCTCGGCCCCTCTCACCACTCTCCATACTCTGCACACCGCCTGGCTTATGCCTTTTGACATTTTACCCTCTTCACCTGTACTGCTCACCCCTCTCCAGCCCCTCCCATCTCTTCTGGCAAATTGTTATTTGTTCTTCAACATTCAGCTTTGGGGTTAACTCCTCCAGGACGCTTTCCCTGACTACAGCCTCCATTGTAGATTAGATTCCCCTTCCTGCAGCCCTAGTGCCTTTGATGCAGTCCTTAGCATGTAGTGCTCCAGTTGTTTGTTGCTTAGTCTGTCTCTCCCACTAGCCCGGGAGTTTCTTGAGTTGCTGTGCCCATTTTCTGTGTCCTAGGCCTAGCACTGATCAGCAATGAGCAAATGAATGATATGAACTGTGTGTCTCCTAACACAGCCCATCTCACCATGGAACCCCTCTGACTTTTAGGCAACACTTCCTCTTACTGAGCTGAGTCTGCTGTTCTGCAGCCTCCTCCATCCACCAGGGTCCTGGCTCTGCCCTTGGACACCTTACAGAGAGAATCGGCTCTGTCCACCTTCAGAGACTTGAAGCTTTTTTTTTTCTTTTGGTCAAAATTTAGGTACTCCCAATGGGAGAGTGCATTATACATGTGACTCATCCCTTAAGAGTTATTCCAGGGGAGAAGGGTTAAGGACTGTTATTTGAGACATACACAGTTTTTTACATCACTCTTTGTATGACATGACTCCAGATGCAAATCATTGCTGGGCATTTTCATGTTCATTATCTCATATAATCTCATTTTAATACCATAACAACCCTTACTTATTTTTCTAGTGATGAGAAAACTGAGGCTCAGAGAGATAAAGTAATTTTCCCATGTCACACAGCTAGCAGGTAGGAAAACCTGGATTCAGTCAGACCTGGACCTTTACAATCCTTAAATTGAGTTCATCTTTCTGCATTTCAACTGCCCTCCCTCCTTGTGACCTCTCCCTAGCCGGGTTGGTCCACTGGCCACAGTGGGTGACATCAAGCACTGTCCTAAATTGTTCTCTAATTGTTTTGTGAGTTTGTGTCTTGTTTCTCCCATCACACTGTAGACTCTCTCCATTTACCCTACTTAGGTCCCTTATAGCACCTTGCCAGTGGCAGGCAACTTGAGTAGGCATGGAGTGTAAATAATGGCTCTGCCATTTACCAGGCACATGGCCTTGGGACAATTATGGCACCTACCTCTCAAGGTTGTTATGAGGATTAAATGAAATAACGGAAGGTTCTCACTACCCAACCTGAATGGACTGAGTCATCCAATGAATAACCAAATCCATTCCCTCTCCTCTCTCCAGCCCACGACCCTGCTGTAAGCCTCATCTTTTGCCTTGATTATCATGACAGCCTCCAAACTCTCCTTCCAAAATAGGTTTCCACAAGCCCCATACTCCCCTTTTGTAACACACATGGCACTTGTGACTTAGTCAACACATGTATTCACCTAACAACTTCAGCTGAGCATTTGTCTGACTCACAATTATATCTCCAGCTGCTACCACTGCTTCAACTCATGTGATAGGCACTCAATAAATATTTACCAAAAAAAAATACCGTATTTTCGGAGAACTGTGCTGACTCCTGTCCTAGACTTTCTTAGAAATAGGCCACAAAGTCCCCAAGACTTGATGGAAGTATTCGGGTCAATGTCAAAAACCCACATGATGGCCAAAATAAAATTTCAACACACCCATCTGGCCAGGTCGCTCTTCTGTTTGCATCCTTTGTTTCTCCATAATATTCAGGATAGTTCAAATGTCTCCTTTGTCCCCATTTCATTGCTAGGAAAACCAGGGCACTCAGCAGACAGGACAGGGAGGGTAAAGGATGATGGATTGGGAACCCTGACCCAGCACAAAACTAGGATGTAATTATGCAGGAAGCAAGAGAAGAAACCAGATTTACCTTGTCTGCCCTAAGCTATACAGGAAAGCTTTGTTTGGAAGAGATAAGGGTGGGGCCTGCCCCAGCACCCCCATAAAGCCTCACTCCAACTTACGCCTTCTTGATCTGGGCATCCTCTGAATTGCGAGTGATCTGGAGCACAGAGTAATAATCCTGGCCCATGAATGGCTGCTGGCAAGGCAGTCGTTTGGTGGATAGTCCTGACTCCAGCAGGGCTGTTAGTCTGCATTCCTTGGTTGCTCCTGGCAACTCACAGGTGCACTCTGGGAGTTGTAGTTCTTCCTGCCTGAGCAAATGGCCTTCTCAGCTCTGCCTAATAGAGAGTGAATAGGGCTAGGAGTGCTGGGGCTGATTCTGTGACCCTGATAAGGGTCGCTCAACTCAGAAATCAGAATATTTTTTAAGGAGAGTAACAATTTGCTACTGGAGGTTACTTGGAATCCACAGATTGGATGACAGATAGTACAGGAGGTTCAATGCTGGTTTCCTTGTTTTGACAGATGTACTGTGGTTATGCAGGAGGGTCCTTGGTTTTTAGCAAATGCACACTGAAGTATTTAAAAGTAACGAGACATAATATTTGTGTTATTACTTAGGTGACTCAGAAAAAAATACAGCATATATAACCTGTGTCATACACACAGACACACATACACACACACATATGGAGAGAGAATGATAAAGCAAACATAATAAAAACTTAACGTCTGGGAGATCTAGTGAAGATATACTGGAATTTTGTCCTGTTCTTGAACTTTTCTGCAAGTCTAAAATTTCAAAATAAAATATAACCAGAAAAAAATTACAAATAGAAAAAAATATAAAATATCTCCACAAAGACACTTATTCAAGAAAGCTTTACTTTGCAAGGCTATTGTGAGGACTGTGCCTGGCACAGAACTTATGCCCAATAGCTGATGCCACTGCCAACTTTTCAGGCCTGAGAAACCAGGCAGTTCTCCAAGGAAGTCACAAGGGGGCATCTGAAAGCCAAGGGACGAGGCCTCCTCAGAGCTTCCCTGGGGCTGTTGCGCAGTGATTGGGGGTTGTCCACCCTTCCTTACCCAGAATGCACTCCTCAATCCACAAGAGGAAAAGGCTTTGTCTGTTATAAGTAGGGCATTATTCCATTTATAGTGGGCAAATCTTTGGGGTACCTGAGAGCTAGGTGCTCCTTCTGTTTAGGTCTGGATTGTCAAGGGGCACTCCGTTACAGCAACTCCGGAGACCTATGAAGAGGGGCTGATGAATGTCAGGACAATGGAGAAGAGCGACTCCTGGAATGGGAACTCAGAGAAACACTTGCTATATGAACTCAGCCATACCCTTCCTCATCCTGTTTGCTTACTTCTTAGGTGTTCCTCCTGGAGCTCCTAGGATTCAGTGTTTCTGAGCTCTGGATATGTCCCTTTCAGGTCTACCTGACCCTATCACAAAACCACTCCTTGAACGAAATTGCTTTGGTCCCAGAGGCCTCATGGCCACATAGTATAGTGCAAGGAGCATAGGCCTTGGAGACAGACTGAGCAAGGCCCAAATCAAGGCTCTGGTACTTAATTTCTTGAGCCTTTGTTTCCTTATCTGTAAAATAGAAATAATACAGTTTTCTTGAGTGCTGTGAGGGTTAAATATATAAATACCTAAACACAGTAGATACCCAGTAAATTCTCAATGAATTACAGTATTTTATTTTCATAATTTGGGTTAAGCATAAGCAATAGGTAGAAAAAATGGGACTTAAGGTTAAGATAACTCTCTTATGACCCTTAGCAAATCACCTCATCACTTTGAGTTTCACTAATCGCATGTCACAGCCTGGTTATAAAGATTACCTGAAAATGTATCTTTAAGAACTCTGTGAATCATACTACTACCCCAGCCAGGAATTACCTTCTTCATTAAATAAATCCGGATCTTAGCTGACGTGGCTCAGATCAAATTTTGCATCTTCCAAGAAACCTTTCCTCTATTAATCTCTAAAATGCAAGTGATATGGTATTTATACTCTAGAAATTATTTAAAAAGAACAAGGTCTAAATGTACTGAAGAACGAACTCAGTGAGACTAAGTGAAAATAAACCATGCAATACATAATAATTCCATTTGTACTTTAAGAAAAAAAAGTGACCCTGTCATACCCTTACTTAAAATCCTTCGGTGGTTCCCCTCTGCCAGCCAAGTGAAGTTCAAGCTCCTTCCCTGGCACTCAAACCCCTTCACTATTTGGGCCCTACCTTATCTCCTGTAGGCCAGCCTCACTCTGGGTACCACCTATGACAAAAGTGCCTTTCACCATATTTTCTTCTAGGTCTCAAACTTTGGGGTTTTAATAATCATCTGTAGGGCTTGTTAAACCACTGATTATGGCCCCATCCACAGAACTTTTGATTTAGGTCTGAGGTGGAGCCCAAGAACTTCCAACAAGTTGTCGGGTGATACTGACGGAGCTGTTGCAGGGATCGCACTTTGACAGCCACTGCCTCTATACAGGTATGATCCAACTTCATCACCTGGGTATGGGCTTTCGACCCATGCTGGTTTGCCTGGGACAAACAGCTGCATGTAACACAAAACCCCAGTCTGAGGAGAACTGGAATGGTTGGGAATCCTACCTGTAGAAGAATCTTTCCCAGCTTGCTGCTTATGGGACATTTACTGCTACCATCAAGCAGTCCTTCTCTATGGCCAGGCCAACAGGGAGAGTCTGAGAAAGGCCTTCTATCAGATTGACTAGTTTCTTGCTAAACTAAGAGTATTTTAAAAGTTTTTCAAATTCAGAGTCCTCCAAACATATTCTCTTTATTTCTTTCAGAGAACAGACTTTAGTCCTCTGATCTTTGTAAATATTTAACATAACCAGATGTGAGATCAAACTGTAAGCATCCAATCCTTGCCCTGTGGCTGGGGTAAATTTAAAAGAGGAGGTGATGAGGCAAATGCAGTGACCACATCTCAGCCTCTTACTCTGTTCAAAGTAGGGCTTATCATGGAATGATAGCTCCACACGGCCAATGTAGTTTTCTGTGCCTTCCAAAGGGTATCCAAGACAATAAAGGGCCATGGTCCTTGGAAAGGACTGATAAAGTTTCTGTTCATTGTTGATCATGACCAATCTTTTTCATTAACTGGAACTCCTCTTTCCAAGGGGTCAGAGGTCAGAGAGCTGATAGCGTCGCACAAGGCCATCTCGACAGCATGTATAGATCTGCTTCTCCCATGTGGCTACCTGGAACATAAGGATTGACAGCTCAAAGGAAGCCTGGGATTCTTGCATTTCAAAAAGACAGACTTGTCATTAATCCCCACTAGTATAAGGGAGTATGAGAAGTTCTATTGACTCCAAAGGCAAGACAATAATTACATCCATTATACATATTTAAAAAAAATCTAGCCAGGGACAAGGGCACTTAAACTAGCTGGCCAAGTGGAGAGCAAACCCATTGGTGTTCTCTATGGCTGAGTGCAGAAACTTCCTGTACCTGGGAAGGAGATGGTCCATAGATGGGCCTGGGTATCACTGAACCTCACAAAATTGTATCCAAAGATGTTCTCAATATGTGCCTTTTTTTCTGAAGATTTCATCAACTTCTCAAAGAAGTCTGAGCCTCAAAGAAGGTGGAAATTTAGTGGAAATAGCATGAGGGCTTGAGTTGGCTTCCTCTCACATTTGCTAATATGTAGCTGTGTGACCTAGGGCAACTTTTTAAGCATGGGGGCCCCAATTTCCTCATTTGTAAAATGAAAATGATAATGTTAATTCACAACATAGAACACTGTGCAAGTATTTTTAAAAATGAAGATCCATATGCATCTGTCTGTTACAGGGCAATTTATATAGAATTATCCCAATTATGTACAAACTAAAGATAAAACTGCTTTACTTAAATACATAAACACAAAGATGTAATTGAAAATTCTCCAACAGTCTTGAGAGGTATGTGCCAAACTGTTAATGCTAGTTTCTTCTGGAAGGAAGAATGGAATTAAAAAGATCTTAAAGGGGACTTCTAAGTCTGTATAATACTGTATTGTTTGAATTTTTATAGGTATATGTTGTTTTTAATACATTAACTTTTTAAAAATTATTTTTAAGAATATGAATTATAATACCTACACCTCAAGAATGGTAATAAGGATTAAGTGAGATAATGTATGTAAGACATCCACCACCATGTTTGGTCAAGAAATATTACTTCCCCTTTCATTTTTCTCTTTCTACCCTAATCAAATGAGATAGTCTTGAGCTTTTAATAATATTAATAATAATAATAATATTATTAGTTAATATAGAATATTTTTAATCTACAAAGAGCTTTCACATGTGTCATCATCTCATTATTATCCTCATTTTACACATGAACTGGCACACTGGGGAGGTAAAGCAGCTTTGGGAGAGGTGTAAAGATGACACATGAGAATCACCCAGCCTGGTCTCCTCTCAGGTCATACCTTGTATACAGGGTCACAGTCAGCCCCAGTGAGCTCAAAGACATAGTCTAGGTCTTGCTGGACAATGAAACAGCTTCCATCACCTAAAAGGCAGGGAGAAAATTTAGATAACTGAAGAGAAAGCTGCCTGCAAAGGAGTTAAAAAAAAAATCTGTATCTTAGATTATTTCTGTACATCACTAGCCCAAAGATTGCTATAAGACCCAGAATGGTAAACAGGTCTCATTATATGGGCCAAATATGAGGACGTATACTGGCCATTTGGAAGGCTGGGCTGGACAGGATTTAAAGGCCAAGTACAAATTCAGTGGGAAGAAGGGATGTCTTTGATTAGCAATGCCTGCCAAAGGCACAGAGCAAGCAACTGCAGCTTATGTATCTGTTGCAAACTTATCCTAGACGGTGAGTTTTAACACAGAATTTGCCTATATAAGCATTTTCCTTAAGAAAAATGTATTCTCCCAAATTATTCTTCAGTCTATAAACTTGACAATATATATTAGGTGAAGGAAGAAAGTTATGCCAAGAAAATAAAAAGTTTATCTAATTTTTAAACTTAATTTTCTCAGAACATGGACAAATGAAACAGGTTAATCTATAAGATGCTGAATAAGGTGATTTTTTTTTCATGTTGTTTTACTTAATATAAAACTAGTACATGCTCATTGAAGACAACTTTAAAAGAAACAGAGAAATGAAAAATCACCCATAATCTACCAAAGTTAGTGTTAACATTTTTATTTATTTTTCCATTATTTTTTTGTGAAAATTCTTATTTTACATGGCTGAGAGTATACTGCATGAAAGAATATCTTCATGTATAGTTTTTTTAATGTATTAAGATTATGACTTTGTAGAGAAACCTGAAAAAGAATCAAAAGATATTAATTAACCTTTTCAAATTTTTTGGAAATCTGAAAAACTGCTTTATGAAATTATCTGTTAATCAACTTCATTTTAATTTATCTATTAATCAATCTATATTCCAACCAGTAGCATACAGAAAGACTTTATCCTTTCTGGTATTACTATTAAAAATATTTTCCAAAAAAGAATCTTAATTTTTTAAACACACATATAGAAATAGTGACAGGTAAAATAATATGATGTTTATCATGCTTTAAAATATAAGGGTTGGGAATTGTAAGGGAATGGACAAAACAAAATGAAACAAGATTAGCCATAAATTGGTAAGAGCTGAAACTGGATAATGGGTGCAGTGGGTTAATTACAGATACACCTTTGTATCTGTTTGACAATTTCCAAAATAAAAAGTCTTAAAAATTGTTTATTCTGGCATTTCAATCTCCTTCCTAATACATCGAAGAGTTTCAAAGGACCTCAAAGATCATCTATTTCCAATTTCCAAACTAGTACAGAATTTGTCTACAGCACCTTGCAGAGCAGTCAGCCAGGCTTTGCTTGTCCATCCCCAGAGTTTGGGTGCTCACCACTGACCACCAACACCAGCTTCCTTCTTTACAAAACAAAACAGCTTTCCTTATATTGAACTGAAATGTAGCTCTTGATAACTTACTTTTATTGGTCTTAGGTTTTGTCTTCTGAAAACAGTTACAATTTTACTCTTTGCCTTTATATACAACAGAAGTTATGCCTTTCCTTCTTTCCAGTAGAAAAGCATTACAGAAAGTACAGGGCCCTGAGTTAGCTCTGTTCCACATTACCCTTCCTTCACTTTACATACACACACCCTTGTATTAGAGATGTGAATATTTTTTTATATGTCCTAAAGGTAGGACAAGGGAGGTAAGAAATGCAGAGGCCTGGGGCACCCTTCATGCTAGTTCTCAGGGATACTAAACTCTGTTACTTCACAGCTGCCACTGAGGCATAAAGAGTCTCACACACTGCAACATGGCTCTTGGTTTGAAGTTTACATTGCTCCTATCTCCAAATCTCATTTTCACCCAGAGTGGGAAACCAACCATAATCTTTTATCGGTTTCTCACCCTTACTATTTCAGCAAGGAAAAGTGACGTCTACTATTGAACTCCTTTTCTCTCGTCTCAAAAAAAGTATGATTACCATAGTTCTTCTGCACTCAGGTTTCTGTATGCATAAGCCCCAGCTCTATTCCCATTCCCTTTGGGAAGCCATTTTTAACCATCCCATATAGTCAACTCTTTCCCCATCATCTCTTGTTACACTCACTACTCCTTTGATACTTCAGCATATCTTGCCCTGTAGCATGATTCTACTTTTTGTGGTTGTGTGCCTTGTCACTGGATCACGATAAGGCATACTTTTTAGGAGGCCTTATAGGGCCAAGGGGTACCCACAGGATTAAGAAGAAACTATTATTTATGGAATGTCTATGATTAAGAAGAAACTATTATTTATGGAATGTCTACTTGATATCAAGTACTTTACATATGTTATCTCAAAGACAACTGAGACTTACTGAGATGGTTTACCAAAGATCACAGAACTATTAGATTAACCACATACAACTGCCATTTTTCTAAATCCAAAATGGTCAAATATTAGGAATTTCATATGGTTGAATCCAATAGTAAATGATGGAGTAAGGATTTAAACTACTGATTAGCTGTTGTCAGTTTCGGTCCAAAATCTACACTTTTCCACATCAAGCTGCTGCCCAGTAAGTAAGGCCTAAGTAGGAGTTCAGGTTTAGAGCTATGGATTCTAATCATTAAGAGCCAAAACCATGAAAAAGTCAGTCCTTGAGGAAGCATGGAAAAGGAAAGGAAAAAGGAAAATGGCTGAACTCTGGGAATATCTCTGGTTAAGGGATGGCAACAAAAGTAGAAATAGCAAAAGGATTCAAGATCAACAAAAACTCAGTACACCAAGAACCAGGGGAAGCACTTATAAACATAAGCTACTGAAACAGGGAAAGGAGAAGTAATAGGAGAAAGATCAGGAGGAGATTAGTTAGTATCACCAAAGTGAAAGAGGCTAGTGATTTTTTCTTTTTTGGTAACATTAATCTACAATTACAGAAAGAACATTGTTTACTAGGTTCCCCCCTTCACCAAGTCCCCCCCACATACCCCTTCACAGTCACTGTCCATCTGCGTAGTAAGATGCTGTAAAATCACTACTTGTCTTCTCTGTGTTGCACAGCCCTCCCCGTGCCCCCCCCAACACTATACATGTTAATCGTAAT